ATGTCTTCTAGGCATAATAGAGTTGGTGCCTGTGTGAACTCACAAATACTGAGGCACCATGCACATAACTGCCATGGGTTTGGACCAGATGGAGTCCAGCATTGAGAGGTGGCTTGGACACAAATTTCCATCCTCAATCAGGAAGGTATTTCTAAATAACATCAGCTTACAAAGGAAAACATAGTTTCTTGAAGGGATTCTCACTGGGTGTACAAACAACATTTAAGGGCAGGTCACTTGCCCAGCAATAAATGGCCAACAAAAATAAGCTCATAGATACTTTTGGAGAATTTTATTTTTTCTTATCCTTCTTAGATACTTTTATGGGCTTGGGAGTTGTATTTTTGTGTGTGCATGTATGTGTGCATGTTTGTATGTGTGTTTCTTGTGCTTCTTTGTAGTTTCTTCCTTGTTTTGCTTGTTTGTTAATTTATTTCTTGTTTCTCTATATTCTTCTTGCTTGTCTGATTTCTTAAGAAAGGGAAAGGTGTGGAAGGGTGGGAGGTAGAGAGGATTTAGGAGGAGATGAAAGAAAGGACGTTATGAGCAGAATATATCATATGAAAAGAACTTTATTTTCAAGAAAATTTTAATTAAAAATCACTAAAATACAAAGAAGGGATCACAATAAAATGAGAGGATTAACTTGTTCCTCAAGGCTCCTCATAGCTCATAACTTAAAGCCAATGAGTTGGAATACAAGCTATAAAGGAATAATATATTGCAGCCAGATAGAATTTGGTATAGTAAATATTTTCCCTATATTTTAGGAAAATAAATAATATAAAAGTGAAATAAATTATCTTGACATAGGTTATTGACTACAGTAAAAGTCATATTGTTGTGGAATGATCATTTTGTACACTGTAAATATGTCTCTGTTTTACATCATCTGTGTAAGGCACCTTCTGTTTGGTTTAATATAGAGCTAAGTGGTCAAGAGCTAGGCAGGAAAGGATAGGCAGGACTCCAGGGAGAGAGAGAAACTCAGGGGAAGAAACCGAGAGGTAGGGAATTCACCAGTGAGATGTGGAGGGAGTCAGACATAAAGTTCAGAGGACAGGTAACAAGCCATGTGGCAGAACATAGGCTAATAAAAGCAGGTTAATTTAAGTTACTAGATCTAACTGGGAACAAGTCTAAGCTAGGGGTGAAATTTCATACTTAAAAAGAAGTCTCCAAGTCATTATTTGGGAGCTGGTCATCCAAAGAAAGTGCTGGTACATCATATAGTTACTAGAATTACTTAGATAACTTATAAGGGATAAACTTTAAGTTGTATTAAAATTTAATCATAATAGCTATAGTGATGAAGAACCAGGGGAAATGTGTGCTACATTTACCAACACAAAGCACACTAGCCCTGGTCTCTGTACTACATGTTGACATTGGTGCACAGTGAATGTCTGTGTGCCCTGAGCTTTCCTACTTACAGATATTTGCTTTTCTTCAGCCTGGATGACTCTGCCAAGAAATTCAGATAAATTTGTTAGACCTAGACCTGAAGTTCACAAAGAGAGATTATGACGAGAAGAATCTTCTTGCTTCTTCTTAGGCTACTAAGATAATGAAGCTAAGGTTATAAATGTTACTTACGTAAAAGTGACCTTAGCCACACGGCACTGAATACTATATTGGAATTACAACCAATGTCAATATAAATGAACCAAAATTTTACTTAACCATCTGTACAACTGATTTCTAAATACAAAATAAACCAGAATTAATTGAATTTTGGGATTGAAAGCAATGTCTGTATTGTCAAGTGTTAGTAGATGGCACAGAAGTCAGTGACAAATGGGCAAGTGGATCATTTTAACCCTTGGTGAAAGTGGATCATCAACTTCCAGACTTCACAGACTTCCAGACCAGAGGACCAGATCTCCTTCTCTCTCCTCTCTCTCTCTCTCTCTCTCTCTCTCTCTCTCTCTCTCTCTCTCTCTCTCTCTCTCTCTGCCCAAGCAATACTGAAAAATACTTGCTGAAACACTGCTAACACATGCAATTAACAGATTTCATAGTTGTTGGATTACTAAAGGCTGAGACAATATAATAGTTTACTTGTACTATAGGACTATCTACAGAGTTCACAATATTTCTTCAATTAACAGAAAGTAAATTATTCCCTGTCTAGATTTATACGACATTTCCTTATTACATAAAGTGCATCAGGAAACAGGAATGTTAATCACATACAACAAACTGGTCCAACTTTACAGTTTACTCAGTGATTTTCTTCTGGCCTCTGGGATTAACATTATCCTGTAGAACTGTGTATTCACTGCTCAGTACGGAGAAATGAGGCACTTTTCATTTGTGTTCAGTATAGTGATGAAATGCCAGTTTAAACTTCTAATGACAACTCAGAAGTATTTTGTTTGATAGGATATAAAGGCAAAATTTGGTAGCCAGTGTTATCTACAAAGGATTAGTGAATTCCAGAGGGACATTTCAAATGATAAGTTCAAAACTCATTACCAACAATTAATGATGAACTCAGCTAAGCAATAACAGGTGTTCCAGGGTCCTAACCAGAACCAGGTGGAAGCAGTAATATTTTATAAATACTAGACACATATTGAGCAATAATCTTGGCAGGAATCATTTCATTCTCTAATTATCACTCAACGTCACTATCATATCATTGGCCTTTCCCCCAAAGTCATGTGCCCACATAAATCATTTTAAATCATTTTTGTTACTTGTGCTAAAAATTGCTCATTACACAGTATTTAGCAACCTTTTTTTCTTTTCTCTTTCTTTTATTTTCCTTTGTGCACTGCCCTATTAACAGGGACAGACTGTGTCCTTTTGTGTCACTTGATGAAAAACCAGTTTGTAAAGCTTTACTTCCCTTCTCCTTCTTATTCTATTTTAGTTCCTGGTCAAGTAATATTAATCTAAAATATTGTTTTATATACTACACTTCCAAAACAATAAGTGTAGGTAGATTAAATAAAGCAGAGAAAATAATAAGGAAACATATAGAACAGAGAGTTTTACACTTACACATTTCAGGAATGGTTTCTTGGTTACAATAGTATACACAGCTGTAGATTTAATTCTATGATTTTTGGAGTATCATCACCTGTTCATTAAGGCAGACCCTTTCTGTATATTCATTAGCAAAATCCACATTAGCCCCCAAAGAGATGCTTCTACTATTCCTTGTGGCCTTCAGCTGTTTTCATATTCCATGAAGCTTATTAGTGTTTTGACAGCCAAAGTGTTAGCATCCCCTGCTGCTTTTGGAAATGAATGCTTCACTTTGTCATGTGATCTATTAGCAGATAATATAAACAGATAAAGTAGCAAAAGAACGTTTTCTTTCTTTCTTCCTTTCTTTCTCTTTTGTAAAATAATGGCATTTATAAACTAATGGAACAAACAAGGAAACAATAGATATCAATTCATGCATATCAACAATATGGTTCATCTTAAGCACAGTTGATCCTAGAAAATCAAAGCATAAGTAAAGCATGGTTTTCTTCATTTCTTTCCATTTTAGTTTACTTTTGCTTATTCAATCGTGTCTTCTCTGAAGTTTAGTTCAATCAGATGCTCTCTGTCTTCCTGCCTCAGGCCCCGAAGTTCCTGAATAACAGGACTGTGTCATCACCAGCTAGAGTAAGACTTTCTCCAACTACCAAGGCTGAATGATGTTGTCAACAGATATTTTAGGGAAGTTTTATTCATTCTATGTGTATGTCAAGACTTGAGGACCCTTTCTGTGAGGTACTCATGCAAAGGTTGTGATAAAATAATTTGAAAATTAAGTTTGAGGCGCCCTAATATTTTTATGTACGTCCATTGGATGCTTTGCAAATGGCATAATGTCCTTACTGTATATTCCTTTTTAAATGGGAGGACATTGAAGAGCAGCTGTTCAACAGCTAATTAAAATCCCATGCTAGAAAATCACTTTTCCCACAGGCCTGACAAATGTTGTTAGGTGAATATTTAAAGATGTTGGAAGATATTAGTTTCATCGATAAAGTCTTATCATTTCCAGGCTCATCTTTAATAATCACACTATCTAAATAATGTAAACATGGAGAAAGAGAAGAGGAGAATGAGGAGAGAAGAGAAAGACTACAAGAGAAGGAAGAAGCAAAAATCATCTGACAGAGTCAGTTCCTGGGATTGGTTCAACGTCCTAAAGTGATTCGTTTCTCTTGAGCTTTTAAATATACATAGGAACTAACTGTATTTCATACTTTCTCAGGAATGTTATCCTTTGTTGTCAATGCATGCATATGCTATAATTAGCATTTTTGAAAGACTTCCACAAAACAGTTAAGGTAACAAAGTATAGTTTGCTTGAAACTGAGTTTCTATTCCGAGTATTTAGTTTCTTGGGTCGTAAATATTTATAAGGCATAGTACAAGGAATAAAATTATCAATCTTAATTAAGATTTCTTTAGCATAGTTTGAAAAATATAAAAGATATGAGAGAGTAGAGGTTTGCCACTGTAAATAAAAGCCTTACTACATTGTAGTGATATTAATGAAGATTAGCTCTCTGGAATCAGCAAAGACAATATTTAAATAAGAAAATCTGAATGATCTGGAAAGATAAGTCTTAGTATTTGAGAAGTGATGGATTTCATAGTGAATTTTGCCAACTATCAGAAAAAGATTTTTTTTTCTGACATTTTCCTTGTTATAAGTCTTTTCTTCTAAACTTACGAGGAATCAAATCAAGTGACTCATTGTTTCACTCCAAGATATTATTAAAGATATTAGCACTTATATACATAAAGATATTAATATTTGAGCTTTCAGCTGACTTCATTTGCAACAGGCCATGCAGCAAATGCAAGTAAAATTAAAGGCCCCAGTACCCATTTATTATTTCTGCATTTTATTGTCTTTAGTCTAGGTTTGCACATGCATTATGTAAGTTTCTAAATGAAATTTTAGCTTAGTACAGAAAAAGATGACAATTTTAGAAACAAAGGCTATTAAAACAGACAACAATAGGAATTGTTTGGAGTACCTGGTTTTAAATCCCCATGGACAAACATGTCAATCATATATCGACAGAATGCATACTGATCTGACAGAATAAAGAGAAAAAAGAAACAATAAAAACATGTCATCAACATTTGTCTATTTTGTATGGAGACAAGGTGTAGCCAAAAAACAAAAACAAAAAAAACAAACATGGAAAGTATATTTTGCCTACTGTTTACTTCTATGAAGGGATAAATTGTGATATTACAAACATACATAGCCAAATACATAATAAGCATAACATTCTACATATTACCTATAAGACCCTTTAAATATGGAAACATATTTGCTGATTGCCTCATGGTAAAAAAGTGTTTGAAAATTCAAAACCTTTCCCTAACTTTAAAACAACTATCCTCACTTGTCTGTGTGAAATTTTTAAAAAGGAAACATGACTTACAAAAAATAACATTCTCTCTAACTAGGAGTGTTTACCAACTTCTAGCTAAACACAAAACTGTCGCTCGCTGTCCAAATGAAGCTGCAGATTGCTTGAGACAGAGCCCATTGTAAGCTCTTAGGGTCCTGTTCATGGAAACTCTCTTTACTAGAAAAATGATCTGAAAAACCAGTCAAAATCACCAAATGACAGAAATATTAAGCAAATTAACTGAGCGGTCATCAGATATCATTTCATGTTCTTGGCTAGTCTGTAGTCTATAAAAATAAAACTAACAAAGTAAACAGATGTTTGAGACAGGCAAGGTCCAAAGTGGCTTCAGGATTGGTATATTTTTTTTTTCTTTCACCTCTTAGTTACATATATCCCAATGAAGTCCATATTCCTGCTAACTTTGGGATATCCTGTGGTCAGTCTAACTCTAATCTCCATTATTATTGACAATTTAATTGTATTAGGCATTTTGTAACACACCAAAAGCAAACAACACCTTAGCACCAAAAAAGTTTATTGAATTTTATAGTATGTCACATTTTTTAATTATTCCAAATTATTTTATCAAACAGAAAATAATTAAATATATTTCTATATAAATACATACTAAAGAACATTCATAAACCTCATTTATATTTCAGAGTGTTGACATCAGTTGAAAACAATTATATTGTGAAGCTCTGCTAGTTCTCTGAAATTGTAAATGATGCTACTACCAATCGATCTAAAATATAGGCTTCTTTTCTTTAATGAAAGTGTCAAAACTCATGTCATTTCCAAAGGTGACATGGGCAAGGGTTGCTGAAACGATGTGGGGACTAGAAAAAGGATAGCTTCGGACCAGCCCAGGAATCTACTCAGTCCACTGGGGCACTTTTAGGATGGTCCCATCCCAGACTGTGGGAATCCTGTGCTGTTAGGCAAAAGTGACATTGAAATAGGGGTTTCTCTCACTTTTTTCTTTTTCTTTTTCTTTTTTCACGTTCGGGACACATTTCTTTTATTCCTTTCTTGCAGAATAAAAAAAAATCACTATAAAACAAGGTCAAGGATCTTACTTTTTTCTCAATTGAAACATATGAATTTGGAGTAGTGTGAAAAATACCCTTGTTTCATAATTTATCTCTTCCTCTGTACCTTCATATGTGTTTCTAAAAGTGATAGGAAATATGCTAAAATGTAGATGTATGGATCTCTTACCCACAAAATTGTTAACACCACAGGTCTATTACAAGTATGTATTATTAACAGTCCCATGCAGTGTCTAATTATACTGAGGGACTCAGAGTTAGATCCCTGATAGTCCAACAGATTGTGATAAAGGAACCTCAGATACAGAATAACAGAATAAGCTTCCTCCACAGCTTCTAGACCAGTTTAAAACTTTTTCTCCCTCCATGAGGGTTTCTTGCTGGTGGACAAATCTTGCAGGTTCAATGCCTAAAAGCTTTGAGCCCAACACTCTCTCTGTCTTTATTCAAACTGATTGATCCTAAATTAGGGGATGAAGACTTTAAAAAAACAGCTCTCAAAGAGAGATGGGACTTGGGTTTGCCGTGTGCTCTGTTGGCTCTACAGAAGAACTTTCTGTCATTTCCACACCCCCATCAAAAATGTTTCTTCACCTGATTATTCTGTCTGCACTCCAGAGTTTTCTTAAATTTTAATTCTCTCACTGGCATAGAAAATACACTTGATCAAGATCCAAAGACAGTAACAATACCATACCATACACAGAATCATGATCTCCAACCTTGCATTTCTTTTCCCCTATTTATTTTTCCTTTGTTTATACCCTCACACCCCAAAATCTTCACTATGTGTAAATTACCTTCCTGGAATAGCATTTCCCCTATTACTTGTTATATATGTTCAAAATATTTTAAATTAATTTTTGTTATAATGCTGAATTCCACCTCTTCTCAGGGTTGACCTTAACAATCTGAGAAAATTCTAGGAAGCGGTGTTGGCCTTCATCTGCCTGAGTCCTCTGGCTTTTAGAATATTCATTTTATGGAAATACGTCTCTAAATCTACCTCAGTACAGCAGGAAACTACTCTTAAAGAAAGTCTAAACTGCCTGCCACTCTGACATTTATAGTTATAGGGCAGTAACTTCTATAAAGTAATTTTCTATTTGGTCACCATTTTAAGATGTTTTGCAAAAAAAAAAAAAAAAAATCTGCTAGAATTAATTTTATGTTGTCCATTCCAGCCTTGTGGCTCCTCGGGGAGCACTGGCTATGCCACTCAGGTGCTGATGCTCAACCCGTGCTCCCTGTGGAGAAACAGCCAAGGGAAAATTGAATTCTGGTCACAGACTATCAGCAGAAAAGTCTTTCAAAAAACAGTCTCTAATGAGGATGGAGTGCATGTGGTCTGGTGTGCTATGCTGGGTCCTCATTAACTACACTTTCTCCAGCTGCCACCAATACTTGCATCATTGTTAGAAAAAATAATGAAAATAACAAAAGAATGAGCATAGCATATAACAGCTGTGAGAGTTTATTTCCCCACAGACTAGGTAGAAAGCAGCAGAAACCAGGGAAAAATGTCAAATCATGTCAACTTTGCCACCTCACCTTGAGCGAATTTGAGGTGGTCTGTAAAAAGCAGATTATATGATAAGCAAGTAAGGGTAACTTTATGGTCAGCATTTTCAATGTCTTAAGTATATATACATTGTTTATATACTGCAATAGTAAATGTTGAAAGCAACTAAATGATACTTTTACTCTATAGGCAAATTTTGCTAACAAATGTCTGTCTCAGATAAGATTGTTTCCAAAAGAGCCAAGGGCACTGTGTGTTTAAAGGGTTTTTGTTTGTTTGTTTTAAATCTCTGTATGAAGAACTGGAGAAACCACCCAATTACTAAGAGGGCTTCATGCTCTTGAAGAGGTGAATTCATCTTCCAGTTCCTTGGAATCTGATGCCCTCTTCTGACTTTGGAGAGCACCTGCATTCTTCCCCACAAATCCACACATAGACATACACACAGCATAAATTTGAAAATAAATTAAAAAAATACCCTAACTGGCATAGTTTCACTAAGTAAATAAACCTTATTTTGCCCAGAGACATTTATAACTCAATTTTGTTTTGCTATCGATTTAAGAATTTAAAAATCGAAGTTACCTCTTTAAAAAAGAAAAAATGAATAGAAAATGCCATGTCTTCATTTTGCTTAAACTGTTACTACCACGTGACCAGCATTTAAAAAATTTTTTCTTAAATACCAGCTTGGTTAACAGAACAACAAAAGAAAGGAAGGAATGGAGGGAGAAAAAAAAAATTAGCCAGACTTTGGCCAGCCATTCTAAGTTAAAATTTTAATGTCTACCTAATTAAACAACTATTTAATTAGAGGTAACAGTTCTCAGTAGGGAGCTATGACTAAACATAATCTTTGCATAGGTGCCTCTGCTTTTAAATGTAAGTGAAATTTGGGTTTCATTTTAATGGATAACTAGCTTTTTATATAAACATGAAAAGAGTAAATTAAAATGGAATTGGGATGTATTTATATCTTTAATAAATTTGATTAGTGATATGTGATATGACAAAATACAGTATTTGTGACTTGGAGAGTGACACCCTTTGAAAGTGTCCGGGTGTGGCAAGTTTCTCATTGAAATACAGTTCTCAAACCCCAGGAATCATGAAAAATAAACATCCCAAACTGTGCTCCTGTTCCTAGTCACTAAATACATATTTTGACATTCAGTGTAAATGGCATATGCTTTATATAATGAAATTATAGATTAGAATACACTTGATAAGTTTTAATTGGTTTCTTGGTACTCTTTTCTTCTTTTAAAGGGCATATTGGAATGCAAACTCTCCAACTGTGCTTATAGTGAATCAAAAGATTAATTTCCCCAATTTTTCTCACAGCAAAGTACCCATTTAAAGCATTTTTCTTTATTGTATTCTTTTATAGCACAGAGATTCATGCATGATTATTATTTACAAAGGTCACACTTTGTATTTTCAATTTTTTAAGATCCTATAATCACCTTGTAAACAATAGGTTTGAGCTACCTAAAGCTTATGAGCCACTAAAAGAAAAAAGGAAAGGAGAAAGAAAAAAGAAAGGTAATTATTCCATTCTTTTTTTTCTTATTTCCTTTGAAAAAAATACTCTTCATGTGCCTATAAATATAAGATTACATGCATTACTTATCTATCAAAGTTTATAAATATTGTGAAGTTTGGAAAATAAGATGAAAATACAGAGTGTGTAATTCATATTATGTACCTAATATTGAGAAAAAAACATGTTTCCGGTTCTACAGATGAAATAGCCTTCTTAATAAAAAAAGTTTAAAAGAGTTGATGCAGTTGTATAGATGCAAATCAGTTCACTTTAAGTTTTGGATACAATTATTCAATTGCTACTCCAGTAAAGGAAATTTTCACTTTGTGTATTCATTAGAAAAGACCTGCCATTCTCATAAACAGTTGCTACTGAGTGGACACTGTGTCCTGAATAGGGAAGTTAGGATTTGTAGCATCCTGGACTGAGGAATGAATTTTGCAATGAAGAACCCGAAGTGGACTCTAATAGTGGGCCAAAGAGACCCTTAATGAAATTTTTATATTCGTATGGCACATTTCTGTAAAGAAATTCCTGTCATGTTTCTAGTGAGTAAACATGTCATTCCTGAAGAGTACACCTGTCCTATATAGAGCTTTCTCAAGATTTGTAAGGGGATTAAAAAAGCACCGGGACGCTTCTTTTTCTTACAACATGTTTCCAACAACAATGAAATGCATTGATAATTTAAAGCACATATTCTTAATGGTATCATCGCAGCTACATCAAGGAAGGGGAGTTTTCATGGTATTTTTACTTCTGTATGATTTGTACATTGGGTTCTTGAGCAACTCCTTGAGGGTTGCTCTCAGATTTTAAAACCATCTTTCTCCAGAGTCTGACACATATAATTGTTCAGTTGTTGTTCCAACTCCTGACTGAAATCCTCAAAGTCTCATCACTCAGCCCCACATTTAAATAATTCCTAGTGCTCTCTTATAATACTTAAAGAATGCATTTAGCTATTTGAACACATTTTAGTGTATCTATTAATATGTTAATACCCAACTCACTGTATTTCCTTTCAGGCATATCAGCTTGGATCTGTCTTTTTACCCCATCTGAGGTTTAATTTCATGTTTTTTTTTTTTTCAGCTTTTAATTGGAGTGCATCTGCTTCTTGCCCAAGATTCTCTTAGAACCTCCAGAACCTCCGGCTGCTGCCTCCTCGGGATGTTTACCTTTCTGTCCATGCTCAGGTACAGCTGGGGATTCTTTTTCATCCCTCTCCCTGGCTTTTGGTGTGGTTTTTGCAGTTTCTTTTACTTTTGCAGCTGCTAGCTTCCCTTTTTCCTGTTTCCCAACTTTCATTTCCTTCTTAGTCTTTTCTTCAGCCTTTTCCTTAGTCTTTACTTTCTTGTCTTCTGCAAAGAGTTAAGAGAGTTATTTAACTCATTTGTTCACATAATTCTTCAACTATCATTATTCCTCATGTACCATTTCAAACACAAACAAGGAAATAAAAGCCAATGAGTGTCCTGGTGTAAATACTATTGACAGTTGCCAGAGTATTATAAAGTCTATAAATATGTTACTAGACATGTTGAATCTCTTCCTTAACTTGTGCCTGGAAATACTGATTTGGATTTTGTTAGCACTGTTGTTTGTTTGCTTGTTTGTAATTGGTTTTTCTAACCATGAGCTTAAGCTGGCACAATGTGTCATTTGTCATATGCAGAGATTGTGCTTTGAGCATCTTCAGTAAGAAAAATGTTTGTACTAAAAATCCCAATAAAGAATTTCCTTTTAAAAGAATGTGATCACTTTGCTTCATAACTATAAAATCTTAATAACTACTCAAAAAAGTAATTCTTTTTTGTTGTTGTTTTTGAGACACAATTTCTCTGTGTAGCTTTGGAGCTTGTCATGGAACTCTCTTTGTATACCAGGCTGGCCTCAAACTCACAGAGAACTATTTGTCTCTGCATGGGACGAAAGGCATGTGCCACCACCACCCAGCCAAAAAAGTAATTCTAATATAATAACTGATTTTTTTCATTTTTTCATGCATGGTACTGAATAACAAAACTAGAACAATGAAATCTACTAGAGAATAATTGAGAGATAGACATTCCTAAGGACCAGGATTGCAAAGCCTGACAGTACGAAACAGATAATGCATTCCTACAAGTCAGAAACAATATTACTAAGGGTTTGTAAGACATTAAAATGTCCTAGGAAAGATTGCTAGCAAGCAAAATATACAGGAATGCACATATCTATTTAGTATACATTAACATGGTAGTATTTTTTGGGAAAGGGAGCTGGTTTATAGATTAACCTTTCTGTGACTCAATCATTTTTAAATCATTGACAATATACTTCACTTATGAATATATGTTGTAATGGGTATTGCATATCTGACTTTTTTGCATATGGGTCCATATACCACTATTTGACATACAGTGAAGGAATCTAGCTGGATTGTCAATGCATTTTAGAGGTATTCTTGACACACATGTTAAATAATTTGATGAAATAATGCACTCCATGCATTTTGCTTTGATGTAAATTCAGACATGTATCTTTGTATTTCTATTACAGAGAATGATAATATCATTTCAGAAACCAGTCTATTTACAAAACCCAAATCATCTGTGATACAGTTTTGATCACTGGACCAGCATCAGATGGATACACATACACTCTTTTAAAGAAATTCCAGAGATGTGATGCTGCCTTAGATACAAGAACAAAAGAAGATGAAAAACAGGAAGTTGTAATAGTGTCTTTACCACTGCATGTCTCAAAGATGCATTGCACCAAGGCTATACATGGATAGACACTATGCTAAACCAATTATCGAGTATTATTGCCAAAAACTTCTCATATATTCCTCTCTTCGTAAAATATAGATTTTTAAATATATGGTGGAATATTTCCTCTTTCCTTTGTTACAATACAATGTTTTCTGCTTCTTTCTCCCCGTTTTGTACAACAAATTCATATACAACTTGATGTGTACACCTAAATTTCCCTCCCAGAGAACCTAGATGGTCTTGTCTTGCTGCTATTTGATGGAGTTAAAAAGATAATCACATTGTTATTATCTCTGGAGATTCTAGCACAGAATTTAAGACACTGTGATATCTGCATTCATCTGCTTCAAGTTTCTTCATGTACAGCTATGCTAAATTTTTTAACACACTGTGTACTTTTTATACACTAAACTGTGTCAAATACCGTATCCATATTTTTCTAAACATTTGAATTCTATAATAGTCCATTCACATACCAAAAAAAAAGTTTACTTGCCAGCACTTTTATTAAGGAAGATGTGAACTTTATTCCCGGTTGAAGATTTTTAATTGTACAAGATTGTTAACTTATCTGTTTCTATTGCCAGGCTTGGAACAACTACTTCAAGAACTCAATTTTTAGCTTTCTCTTACTTTAGTATCCAATACTAAAGTGTTTATTTTCAGAGAACAACAGGATTAATGCATTCTAAATTACAAAATGTGACTCAAAGAAAAATGCATTACTACATGTGTGTCTCATGTGTATGATGTGTGTACTTGTACACTGCACATACACATATGAACAGTTTAAAATAAACATATTTGTACTTTGAAACTTTACCAGCCTTTTTTGTTTGTTTGTACTTTTGATTAAATTTGTAATTTTAGCTATCCTAAATGCCATCTATCTGTGCCTTGTAGACCACAATTGATTTTACCTCTGTCCTTGTGCTTGGGAGTTAAAGATTGGTGAAATTCGGATTATTTTCATACCATCAATATTTTTCACAGGCACAGTCAATTTTTAGAGGCATGACCATAATTCAACAGAAGCACGACAATAACTTTTTTATATAAAAGTGGAAAATTTCCTCTTCTATTGTCAACTCCTAAAAAGACTAAATTTGCCTCACATTGGAGAAATGCGGGGACGAAGGGGGCATGAGAACGAGGCCTAACTTTGGCTCACTTCTCTTAACTTCTTTTGCCTCTTTCTCTTCTTTCCTCTGTTAATTTGGTGAACTACAGAAATAGGTACTGTGCATTGAGGGCCTACTACACGTGCCAGGCATGTGGTGACACTGACTTATGCATGTTCTTTCAGGAAGAATTTCAAGGATGGGCTGGGAAATCACCTCCCTTGACACACAGAATACAGTGATAGATTGTAGTTTAAACCAAACAAAAGTCACACACTGTGTCCTGTGGAAGTGAAAGAAGAAACCGTTAGCTTCCACACCTGTCATACCATTCTAAAGGAGTTCACTTTTATTTTAACTCAGATATCACCTATTTAGTTTACGCATTTTTAGTCTTCTATTTTTCTTAGAAAATACTATATTTCCAACATAACATAAATATCACGTATGCATTTTCTAGTCCCAATGTAACATATGTGTGTGTGTATATGCATGTACACATGTGTGGGAAGATTATATATGTGTAAAATATGCAGGATTTGTTTACATCTATCAAGACTAACATGTGCAAATGGGAATCGTTGGCAGTGGCAGACTGAAGGTGGCTGCCAACAATCCCTGCATTCAGCTCTTTGTGAGCTGACTAGTCTTGTAATCGGATAAACAATTGTCTATGGCAGAAGTAATTGGATTAAAAACCCTGTTAGTCAACCTAAGATCATGATTTCTGTCCGATTTTCTCTTTTGCTAAGTTTAGGAAAGTCGGTCATCATGTCGGTGTGGATTTGTGACAATGAACAGAGGATTGACAGGAACTTCAATGAATTGGACGAGCCAAACTTGAACGATGTAGTTCGTGAGACATTGAGTGCAGAAGTAACTGGATTAAAATTCCATATTGGTCACCATCCTGAGTTTCTGATAATTTATTGTTCTAGCGAAAGGAAATACTCATTCTAGTACTGAATTTTGCATTTGGTTTCTGGATGCTCAAACTTTAAATTTTTATTTACTGAATTCATCGTAACATTATTTTAAGAATTTGAGGGTTTGGAGACATTGCTTAGTTGGTAAAGTACAATCATGAAGGCTTGAAATCTATTCCAGCATCTATATAAAACACTAAGAATTTTGACACCAGCTCATAAACCCAGCACCAGGAAACCAAATGCAAAGAATCATATTTGTAAAAAAAAAAAAAAGTGGGACCAGAAACATCTGTACACTATTGAAAGAACAATAAATTACTACACATCTGGCTTTATAATCTATTTTAAAAATTCAACTTTCCTTATATAATATAACCATTTATTTCTCACTCATAACTAGTTTCTTGAAAATGTTGGAAAAAGATTTTTCCAGTATATTATTTATATCAAACACATTTTAAAATATAAGGAAAACATTTACATTGATTTGACATATTTGTGCTATTTTTTAAAATGCTTATTTTTTTTTTTACTTAAAATATTTGGTAGACCAACCTAGGGTAGAAAAAATACAGCTCAATTAATCTTCCAAAATAGGAAAGTGATTTTTTTATGGACTTGATGTATATTATCATGGTGCTTTTTGTGTGCAAATTCTTGTTTTGTCCCAGGGCTCACAAGACCAAAACGAAGCAACCAACCTACTGTGCTCTGTATGGAGTTTCTGTAAGAAAAACTGCCTTCCATGCTTATTCATCATGAATACAGAATTTGCTTTGTGTTGTTGTTGTTCATGGTTCCTCTGTACCCACCATAATTTTCACGGTAGCCGAGGAGGCTAAGACCTCACACTTCAAAACTTGCTTTGCTTTCTGTGAAATTTCCTGCTTTTAAACACATTGGAGCTGTTTATTGTGTGCAGGTGGTTACATTGAGGTAATTGTTCCAACTTTTGATCAAACTTGACTACATCTGGAAGTGTCCTGGGGAAGACTGTGTGGGATACGGGTCATAGAGACCAAAATTCTGCCAATAAAATGTGATGACATTTTATTTTCACATTTTGAGATTATCTCTTTGGAGTATTTGGTTTTATTTTTCTTTAGATATCCAACTTCAGACTATTGCATTAAATGAAATGAAAAATTATTACAAACATTCACATTTCAGTCAAAGTGTACACTCTGCTCATCAAAAGACTTCAAGAATGAAGATAATAAGGCTAGAGTTACCTTTGCACTGAAATAGGGGTGGATCTGGGAAGAGTTAGGGGAGGAGTGACTATGATCAACATGCATTGTGTAAACCCTCAAAGAACTAATTTAAAAATTTAAAAAACAAAAGTTACCTTTGGTCTTTGTCTCTGCTTTTTCTTTTTTCTCAAGCTTCTCCTTTTGAGTTGCTTAAACAGAAAATTAACATTAGAAAATTATATGACTTTTAATAGATTTCAAAGCCAATTTTCTTCTGACTACAGTTTTATAGGCATCCAAACCATGGGGATTTATGACACTTTGGATCCATCTTAGGGATCTAGTAGCCAGTAAGTAATAGCTGCATAGAATACATTATGAAATTAGATTTTATGAATTAGAAAGTAGCTGGCTGTGGTGGCAAATGCTTTTAATGAGTACTCAGGAGGTAAAGGTAGACAGCTCACTGTGAGTTCAAGGCTAACTTGGTCTACACAGTGAATTCCAGAACAGCTAGGGCTAAATAGTGAGATCCTAGCTAAAACAAACAGATATTATGTTGAAAGCTAGATCTGTCATCTCTCTTTTATAGATTTCTACTCAAATGGTGCTTTCATAAAGAAATTTAAAAAAGAAAAAATTTATAACAAACATAATAGAAACACTGTGAAAATACTTCTTTTTAGCATTAATAACAAAAGATATTATCATGGCTGATGACTGGTTGGCCAAAGCGTTCCTCAACAGGCACACAACTGGCATTTGGGGAAAGAGCAGCTCCCCAGGGTACAGGGCTGCTTTAAACATCGCAAAGATGCCAAGCATTTGTAGTGCCTGCTTACCGATGCTGTACATCAATATCCTTTGTACAAGCAACACATTTACAGAGATTCCCTAATGGGTAACACCTTTCTCTGAGAATCAACAGTACTATATAAGATAATTAAAATGATTATTAAAATAATAGGTTTTAATTTATCAATGTTTACATGATACCCGAGTTATATCCTCAGCTAATTTATTTAACTTACTTTGTCAACGTGAATTTATTTAACATGTCTTTGTTCGGTATGTATTAAAAATCCTAAGGTCTCAGTGTTGAGATTACAATATCCTAGGGAGTCCAATAGCATGTGTAGCATAGTCTTACGTATCAAATAAACAGATCATTATGGAAGATGTCAACATTTCCATATAATATATCCTAAAACATAAACATCTTTAACTGGAATACAGGAAACAGAGGAACACTTGCACAGGGCATTTTATCTCTGATTATTTTCAATTGGAGTGAATTTTCTACATTTATATTTTAAGAACATTTTTTTAATTAATTAAAGAAAACATTTAGCAATATTGAATTATGAAAATTAATAAGAACCACAAAATTATTTGATTTTGTCAGGTTATGGAACCTTATGTTCAGAATTTGGTATCTCACCAGCAGATGAGAAATGAACAAATATGCCTGAGACAGACAAAGAAGAGGAGAGCTCTAAAATTCAAGGAAATTACCACTAAGTAAATATTAATAAAAGGACAACTCTTTAACTCTAATATTCAAGTGTGAATATGTAATAAGTAATATTGAAACATGTTTCTTCTGCTCTGGTTCATAAATATCACATCCATTCTCCATATTCCATCTAAGCTGCAGAGTTTCCCTGAAGTCAGCTGGCTATGATATTGAGGATATAAACGTCATGCAGTCTAACAACAGCAGAAGGCAAACCACAATCTTACTTCACACAACATGGTGAAGTACAGTGGGTGGCTTAATTAATGAAAATCCAAAAGCAGACATAGTACAGGAAAATGAATCTAGATACAAGAACATCCTGCATGCACGTGCGCGCGTGCGCGTGCATACACACACACACACACACACAACCAGGGGATGAATAGGCGAGAGATATGAACAGTTACACAGGAGAAAATCACATTGAGATATATTTTACACTTAACAATAAGGTAAGGTATGGAGGGATACTCCCTTAACCTAGAGATAGGAGCGAAGGCTTAGTCCCTACTCCAAATGACTTGACAGATTTAGATGACCCCTCCTGGAGGGCATCACCCTACATGTGGAGTAGATGGGGGTGTGGGGAGAGGGTGCTTGGGGGCATGACAGAGTGTGAGAGAGGGAAAGAGGAGGGGAGGGAGAGAGGGAGAGGGAACTGGGATTGATATGTAAAATGAAAATTTAAAAGAAATAAACTATAAAAAATAGGCTTTTTCAAATACTAAGAAGCTTTGTAAAAGCAATGAAGAAAATAACAATTTTCTAGGTGGTATTTTTGATTTAGGAAAGTAGAATATAAGACACGCCAGATTTTGTATAGACTAAAGGAACAATAATTTGCTAGTATGGTAGCAAGGCATTGTATAAATACATATATTTATAAACCATATATTAATGATGTAAATGTTGTATACATATTGTTAATGAAGCTCCAGAGAATTTTACAAACCTTCACACAGATGGCTGTGTTAGCACCTGGGGTGACATGGGATGGGAAATGAGACATTAGGGCAGTTGTGGGCAACATTTCCAGTGCATATGCATGATTCAAACAGTGAAGTTGCCTTACCTATCCTTTCTTAATAAATAAGCAATAACAAAGATGGTAATATAATAGACAATTGAATTAAAAGGTGAGAATGTTTTTTCCCATGTAACTGACCAGTATTTTCTCAAGTAATATTCTCTAATAGGCTCACAACTACCGGAGGGAAGGCTGACATATATTCTAAGACTAACATTGTAACAACAGCCTAACGTACTTTATTCTCTCTAGTCCAGAAATTACACTTTGGGGGTTCTATTCCATGAAAAGAAACATAATACAAATTTTAGAAGAGGAAATCAAAATTCTCTAAAGTCTAAACGTAATGAAGAGGAAAAATCTTTAATGTTAAAGTGGTAAAAAGAATGACTACATACCTTTCTTCTCGGGTTTTTCTCTGTCTTTTATTTTTTCTTTTCCTTTTTCCTTTTCTCTGGGTGAAACTGGAAAGAGAAAGGTAATACCTTTAATTTAAATCAATGGAATGATTATGAGGCAATTGCATGACAGTTTAGCTTCTAAAGTACTTGTAAAAATCACCTTTTAGCTTCCATAAAGGTTTACATACTCAGATTAAACTTCAGAATAATTATAGATTTGCTTTTTGATACCTGCTTTTATTTTCCAATCAAGCATAAGCAATACTAAAATATATCTGACAGCAAAGATAAAAATGTCCTACGGTTTTCAATCTTCAACATAATGAATTGGAAGATCTCTCTCTAACCATCTATATGTAATATATATACAAATATATATGTGTATATATGTTAAAGAAGTCTGGTTTTGATAATGGATGAATGTCAGAAATACATGAAGACAAAAATGAAAGGATATAGTCTCCAGAACCTAAAGCATAGAACAATGAATATAAACTGCATGTTTAATACATAACAGAAATAAGAGTGGAATGATATCACATCTTTCCAAAGGAAGCAATTTAATGAGCCATGATCCAGTTATTTATTCCAAGAGGATCCAAACCTTACCTTATTATTTATTCATAGTACTAATTAATCAGCAAGCCAGACATCTCTCTCCTATTTCCTAACTTTATTCATTCTTTAAGCTATTTCAATCTAAGATTCTTGTTGTTCTCTTACCCATCTTCTTTTTATCCCCTATCTACCTTGTATTTATACAGGAATGTACAGAGAACATTTGTCAAGAGCTGAAGATTATCTTTGGCAAGAAAAATACCTCCCCTTTCAATGGGATGTCAACGCACTAATGGATGATGAATGCTAAACAAATAATTGCAGAGGTAGTTAATTGCATTTAATGTAATTGCTGCAGAGAAAATAAGCAGGATGGCATGTCAGTGTGGATAATGGGGATCTAATCTCATCTACATATCTCGAGAAGGCACCTTAGTAGATTAGACACTGAAGGATGTGAAAAAAAAACAAAAAAAAAAAACAATAACAAAAAAGTAAATTAACCTAGAGAGAACAAGAAGGGAAAGACCATTTCAGAATCTCTGAGCAACATGTCTGTTGTAGGTATGATATTATTGCACCTTTAATACAATATTTTCTCCGAGGCTGTGAAACTTTGTTTTTAACAAGGCATGTGTGGGTAACAAATCTTAGTGTCCTACCCATTGTTTAGCGTGGAATGAGTCACAAGTTGAAACTATCATATATTTATAAATATTTCACTGATTAAGTGATTTGACATTTGATTACCGTCCATTCTCTTCTGTCAGGAATTTTACCTTAAACTTTCCAGTCAGTCTTAACGGAGTTTTTGTTGCTGCAGGGTATCAATGCCCCCTGTGTAGAACTTTTCCCTCTGCTTGCTCGTGTCTTCCATCTTTAATACCCAAAACCATGTGTCCTCATTTTCCATCCCCTACTCCATGAAAGGCTCTTCGGGCTTGGTTCAAGCGTTTTCTCTGTAAATTTCAAACCTATCTACCCTTATTTTAGAAGCCAATTACACCATCTCTTAATAAGTATTAATAAGTAACAATGTTGCCATTGTTTATTAGTGACTGCTCAGTAGATGAGATCTCTTAAGGGAAGTTAATATCAGTATCTGTCATACAGTACACTTTTAATGGTATTTTGGAATATATGAAATTCCAATATTTTATAAGAACAGCTAATATCCTTTCTGCTTTTAACCTCTATTTGCTTTCAATCTCTGGAAACTTTTGTAACTTATTAAAAATCTCTTAAGTATAATCTAGAGCTAGAACAGGAAGGGGAAACCCACCTCATAATATCCAGGCAATACCATGTTATTCCCCTTCGCACTTTATGGTTATTTTTGGTGTTGCTGAGAAACTTGTTTCTTAAAAACAAAACAAAAAAAAAAAAAAAAAAAACAAAACAAAAAAAAAAAAAAAACTCAAAAATAAGGATAGGAAATCAGCACTTACACAGACCACAAATAACTCATTTCTCTTTCTTTGGATCATTGTTAATTAAGCTGACATCCAAAAAGAAATTCTTGGCAAAAACAAAGCCTCTTTTAAAGTTTCTCTAGGGAGAACCAAGTTTGTGAGAGATAAGCTGTGCATCCAGAGCCCTGACTAAAAGGACCCCCAGGGGACACATAATCTGTGGCTCTGCCTCCACAATTCAGACAGCTGGCTGTCCATTCCACTAGCAGATTTTCAGATTGACATGTGCACAGGCATAAACGGGAGAGTTAATACAAAATCAGGAGAGCAAAGGGGCTGAAATCAGACTCAAATTAACATATTGACTCCTCATTCTCATTACCCAGGGGAAAAAGCTGGTTCTTTCAATCAAAATTTGATTTACTGACACTGTGGTACATGGTGGAATTCCATTATCTCCCTTCAGAATTAACTCCACAATACAGCATACTGAAACAGCTGGACCCAGGAAACAACAGGGAGCTGTTCAAAATGGCAGAAAGCCACCAAAGCTACTTGGACTGAAACTTCAAACTTTGCCAAGAATTGAAATGACTTTAGACCCAGCAATGCAACAGTCAGTAACTGCTTTAATAATTACTTTGAAATAAAAATATAACGCTATAGCAACAACAGTAACTAACTTTGTTGATATCTCTACTAATAACCTGTCACCCACATGGGAAAAAAAAACAACCTACCTCCTTGCCACCAACCTAGACTGGCAAGTCATAACTTCATAAAAGTACTTTTAACCCAGGGCAAAATAAGCTTTTGCACCTGTTGGAGCTTAACTTGTTTGCCGTCCATATTTATGTGAAACAAAAGACCCTTTGGTAGGCTCATAATCAAGAACAAATGGAATCCACCAGTTGGAGTGGCTCTGTCGCTTGGCATCTGAGTTGGCATGGAGTACTATCCCTGCTCTTGTGGAGACTGACCTTCCTCTGACCAGAACATTCTGCTCAGCTCAGCCCTGAAACAGATAGCTTCCTCCTCGCCAGCAGTCCCCAGGCTGTGCTACATACTCCCTGCTTTTAAACCCAGCAGCCAAGAAAGAGTTAATGCTTTCTAAGAGTTTCAGAGATCTCACTATGTTCAACCTTCCAGTTCTATTCCTCTGAAGGTCTTGGAGTTCTTAACGAAAGTTTTGGTGCAAAACTGTGTAAGTGCATAACTTTATAGGTTAATAATCAATCAAACTAACCGGTGACAATAAACTAACCATTTAAGATCCCTTTTGGCTTTCTTCAGAATTACTGAATACTACTTTTTTGAGCAGTAGACATTATACATTGCCAATTAAAAGATTTGAAGTCCATGGCTTTACTTGATAGAGGTTTCTGGCTTTTATTTTAATAAATTTCCCTGTTTTGAAATTTCTGGTGCTTTTTATTTGTGTGAGATATTAGTTCTTACTAATTTTGAAAAGTTGAATATTGCAACAGATTCACCTATAACTCATACATATTAATTGTTTATTTCAATTAAGCAGGAGTTCCTGAAAATATAACAGGTTAGATTGAGAAATATGTATGTGTATACATATACATGTATGCATGCAATAGCAATCAATAAAAAAGGAGACCATGAATTTGAAAGAGTAAAGAGAGATACATGGGAGGATTTAAGGGAGAAAAGGAAAAGGAGAAAAATACAACTATATTATAATCTCAAAATTAAAAAATATAAAAATATTATTAACCGACATGATAACATTATTATTCATTATTTGAGAATTTCACAGTGTTATACTGCATTTTGATCATATTCATTCCCTTCTCCCAATCCTCCCAGATCTACTTGCAATTTCATTCCCAGCCAACTTTGGGTCTTCGTTTTTTAAAATATCAAGGTCAATTAGTGTTACCCATATATTCTTGGGTGTGTGGCCAGCCAGTATAATTCTTTGTTCAAATAACTATTTAGTACATTTGCTTAGCTGTCTCCTTCAAAAACGGCAGCTCATCACACCAAGAACTTTCAAAACATTTTGAACACACAGTTACTGGAGTTTGAAGTTTCAGTCTGCATTTGCTATTTTTCTACGTGTGTGATAAATCACTATGAGTAAGGCAACTTACAGAACGAAGGGCTCACTTTGTGTTTATGGATCCAGAGGGATAAAAACCCATCTCCATCATGATGGGGAATCATGGCAACAAGAACCAAGAATGGTAATAGGAACAGCTCGAACCATAAGTACGGAGCAGAGAAAGCAAACTCCAAATAGCCTGAGTCTTTTAAAAACTTCGAAGCCCTAGGGACATAGTTCACCTAGCAACTCCACAAGTACTAACCTCCCTAAACCACCACTATGAACCACATGTTCAAATGTCCGGACTATGGGGAGACATTTCATTCAAATCACCATATTATTTAAGAAGTTTAGTATCTGTCTACCATTTTGAACAGCGTCACAGAATTCATGCATCCAGCTGTTTCCCTAAGCTATGCTGTGGTATTGTCCTAAAGTAACATAATAAATTCAGGTTGACAGGACTTAGTCTTATGTCTGGCACTGTGACGAGACAGGGCATCTTGAGAGTTCAGGAAAGCCGATAACTAGTAACTACTCAATAGTAACTACTCAATATCAATTCTAAGAGTCCTCAACTTTCTATGATGACAATCAAGAAAGTGGCTTCACAAATTGTTGCCCTGACATGCAGCTGTCAATTCAAATGGATATGTCAATCACTTTGACAGTAAAATAGGATTCTGGAAAGCTGCCTGTTGCAGTGACTTTCTAAATATAAAACCTACTTAAAATTTAAATAGACACCATGGTCTCTCTGACCATTGTCCATTTGTGTCTACCCATTAACACTCGACTCTGCACTGACAGTTTGGCCATTTTCTATTCTCATTCTTGAGGATGATGCCACAATTTACTCTGTAAATACCCCTGCCTGACTTCTACAGCTAATTCTATGCATCCCTCCTGAATTCTTTTAGTAAAAAAATCCAAGGACCAGAAAGATAAGTGGAAGCCAGAGTAAGATTCCCGTGACAAAAGGATGTAACAAATTCATCTTCAACCCTTTAAGAATA